TTTCCTAGACCAATCACGCTCATCAACACAGTGCGTGTTTCCTATGTAAGATCTTCAAATACTTTGGGTGCAAAGTGGATAGCTGAAGCTAATTTCTCATATAAAAAGAGGTGACCAGGTCAAAACCCTAAAAATCTTCATCAGAAGGGCTCAGCGGCCACTTCCATGACAGAGAGGCGAACACAGTCAGTTAATAACAAAGTCCAACTAACACAGCTCCAGTTTTGTGGAAAAGGTATGATGCTTAAAGGAATGGTCCCATGTTTAGAAGAAGATGCATTTTATTTTTTCTTATTTTTTTAATGTTTTTATTTATTTATGAGAGAGAGAGAGAGACAGCATGAACAGGGGAGGATCAGAGAGAGAGGGAGACACAGAATCCAAAGCAGGTTCCAGGCTCTGAGCTGGATGTCAAGCACAGAGCCGGACGTGGGGCTCAAACCCATGAACCACAAGAACATGACCTGAGCCGAAGTCGGATGCTTAACCGACTGAGCCACCCAGGTGCCCCGAAGAAGAAGATGCATTTTAAAATTATTTTAAAATTTAAACCCTTATTAAAGGAATTTTAAACTTCTACTAAATTTAATTTCTTAGTTCATTATAAATTAAAATAGCTATTTTTTTTAATTTTGAGAAGAAGCCTTCTCACTTGAAACTGTGAAAATACCTTTAAAAAACTTTCTAGGACACATATTATCTTGAGTGCTGCCCTATAGCATATACATTATACGTATGATTTTCCACGCTCAAGTATGAGGTGCCTACCTGTGCACCCGTCCTAACGCGTGCATGGGCAGAAACGGGACAAAGGAGGAAGGGCGACATAAAGACACTCAAATCATTTGAACCCGTGAGAGACACCTAGGATTATCCCCAAGTCAACGGATAATCTTAATATTATTAACTGAGGAGCTCCCAGAAAGAATGAAGAAAGTATATATGAAAAATACTAAAAGATTATCATCATTCAGGTACCTCCTAAAAGGTGCCAGTGATATACACACACAAGCAAGTTTTCATGTCAAACAACTCCAGAGATCATGTAAAGTTCAATTTACTGTGACAGTCCCAACAATTTAGGAGACACTGTGTAACGGGCATAGTTCCGGCAGTCCTGACACCCGTCGGTGCCACGGATGCCTCTGCCCCGAAGCAGGAGGCCAGGGAGGTATCAGAGGTCCATCGGTCTGTGAAAACAAGCTGCGTGAACTCAGTGTGTTTGTGGCAACAGCCCAGACCCTATTCTTGCCCTTCTTCCCTCCCCGGTCCCTTTAGTGGTTCCTCAACGGTGTCTGTTCTGATGTACCCTCCTGTCTCATTTGTACCCGAACGTTCTAAGCTGGATCGGGGTGCCCACTGGACTGCAGACTCCACCTCCGTCACTGCCCACCCCGGCTCCTTCCCCTGGGCTCCGCCCCCTTCTGGGAGGCTGCCACAAACCCAGCAAATTCACCATTCATCAGACTAGGAAGAAATGTTAGAAACAGGGCTTTCATCTGCTGATTTATGGAAGTGAATCCTCAACTTCGTACCTATAAGATCCAGCTTCATTCTGAGCAGCCCTGGGTTTCTTGGCTTCATTACATGAAAACTGTACAAAGCATGTAATGAGGAATGAGAAAGGCATGATTTATGACCCTCCCCATATAGGATATTTAATTCTGCCTTTTGTTCAATGGTCTATCCATTGTGTGAGCAAAGTCAATACCAATAATGAAATGCAGACTGAAGGGCTAAATCAATTCAATAAAATGCAAGAGAAAGACTAGGGGACTGAGTACATTGGAAAGGCGAGTGCCTGCAGGATTAGTATTTGAACAACAGGTAATTACAAAAATCAATACTTGTGTATGAGAACCTGACAGGCAGCCATCGCCACGAAGGGAGAACTGTTACTATTGGTTTGGGCCCTGAGTTAGGATGAGGGAGCAAAAGAGAACTATGCAAAATCCCTATTAGAGGTTCCGCGTGTGCATGCATGCGTGTGTACACACATGTGCTCCCCATGTGAGTGAGGGAGTGAGAAAGGGAAACTCAGATGGCTCCCTCTGTGATTTTATTTAGGCATGTGCTCTGTCCCTGTACAATGCGGTGTCACGCTGTGCCCTCAGTCCTACACCACCGCTCCCCTCCTTCTCATCTCAGCCTCCCGGGGACCTGGACAACATTGTCATGAGGCCCTGGCCGTGTCCGGAGCCTTCAAGGGGTACAGTGGATCACTAACAACTACCAGATGAGCCCCTGCTCTGAGCGCCAGCTGCTGGAAGAGTTTCCAGGCAGCGAGAGGGGACACAGGGAACCTCAAGGGCGCCCATGGCAGAATTAGAAAAATAAGCACATGGACACATGCAGACGCATACATACCCACAATAAAATAACTTGTATTTTAAATAAAGTAAAATAACTTAAAATGAACGTAGAAAAGATAAAATAAAGTAACTTGAATGTTCTAACTGTGTGTTCCTGGCCAAAAAAGAATACGAATGGATGAATATGTTACCAGTAAACAGCCACCGCACCTTAAGTCACTTAGCCCGACAAGGACTCCACAGTACAGGTATCAGCATCTCTATTTTAAGGGGTGAGAGGACAACTGGCCTATTCAGGAGGCACAGCTGGTGAGCAGGGAAGCAGCACAGAGAGGGACGTGTCTATTGGACACTGAGGCATGTCCCAGCCACCCCTACATTGTGCCTCTGATCATTGTGGGGCCGTGGGGTGCTTCTGATGGGGTCACATCCAAGTCTATGGCCAGCTGCCTGGTTTCAACTGCTATTAAGAGGCTTTCTGGCCAGTCCCGGAGGACTGGAGCCAGGGAGCACGTAGACAGGGTCAGTTGGACCAGTGACTTCACATTTCTCCAGGCCAAGCTGTCTGGACCATCTGACCACATGACCCTTTCTACTAAAGGTTCAGACTCTGTTTTTGGATGTTTGGCTTCTGACCACTTTCAAGCCTCCGTCTCCCGCTCTGCCCATGTCTGAGCAAGGTGATAAGAAAGTTTGGATGCCTCCTCCTTTGGCATCAGCACATTGTGCCAGCCCCTATCCACACGTGAGAACCCTCACACTGGCCCCGCCCCATAATCACCACAAAACCCAAGCCAACCTCCTTCCCTGCTCTCAAGCCGCTTTCAGTCATGCTCAGGAGCCGCGCTGACCATCCCAATAAGCCGCAAATGTGTCGTCCAACTTTCCATACCTTCTAGGTATATTGCATGGCGTCATCAGTCTTGACTTTGGAACCACATTCCTGCTTTTGTGGGGGTATCACGACACCCCCCATCCAATCTCATGTGAACAATGGAATGAAATGCTTCCATGGCCTTTAAAGAAGCCCTCAAAGTTGTGCCCTTGAAAAAATGATGGTCTGTAATCCCCTTATCAGAATTCTGTCCTTTGTTTTGATTGACTATTTTGTTTTCTGTTAAAGGCACAGAATGATTGAGATAATTTCCATTTGGGACAGAAGTTGAATCACCTTGAGTCATTTGTAGATCTTTTTATCTAATTTTAATAGTATTTTTTGGCATTTTTAAACTTATTTTATTTTATTTTATTTTTTTTTAATTTTTAATGTTTTATTTATTTCTAGGAGAGAGTGAGAGAGACAGCGTGAGCAGGGGAGGATCAGAGAGAGAGGGAGTCACAGGCTGAAACAGGCTCCAGGCTCTGAGCTGGCAGTCAGCACAGAGCCCGACGCGGGGCTCGAACCCACGGACCGCGAGATCATGACCTAAGCGAAAGTCGGAGGCTTAACCGACTGAGCCACCCAGGCGCCCCTTTTAAACTTATTTTAGATGAACAATGTTTTTCCTCGTGTGGCTGTTGGCACTGTTGACCCTGGGGCTGGATAACTCTTTGCTGTGGGTGCCGCCTGGTGCACATGCATTTTAGGGAGTTCTGCAGCACCTCAACCCCACCCGTGACGTGCTGACAGCACCGCCACAGCCCCTCCGATTGTGACAACCACAAATGTCTCCAGATGTTGTCAACTATCTCTTGGGAGGCAAAATCACACCTGGCTGAGACCCATTGCCCTTTATTCAATCCACAAAGACACGTGACCTTTCTGCTAAGTCCCCGGAGTACCAGCGGAAGATAGACAGAAACGATGAAAAGCCTAGGCTATATCCATCCTAATGCAAGCAGGCAACCTCTGTAATAAATTGCAATTATATCTCCAAATTTCTAGTTTCCACTCTTCAACTGATTTCGACTGATTCCTCAAACTGCTCCATGTTATGGAGATGACTCTTCATAACTCACCAAATCTTTTAAAATTTTTTTGATTATTCAGCAGCTTATATGCAAATACTTGTCTGTTGTCTAAAAAAAATCAGATATACGTCGACCACTGTGATTTTCCAGAAATATCACGCAGCACAACGTATATATAAAGTACTCCAAGAGCACAAAGCATGTTAACAATTGCTTACATAATGGACACAGACAACATGCTCTTTCATAGACTCCATACATCTGTATTATATTCACTAGTAATTCTGTAAATGGCTCAAAATTCTTGATTATAACACAAATCCTATATATTGCCTAGAGTTCTCATCCTGTAAGTGAGTTTTCCAGAAGGGACAGATGATACCACAGGTTGACTGCAGCAATCTTGTAAGTTGAGGAGACAACGTAAATGCTTTTTATTTCTTGAAGATTTAGAGGCAGAGATAACTAACTCCAGAGCGGGTATTGGGAAGAGGAAGGCAAATCACATGAAAAGTCCAGCACTCGGCCATCCTACCTGTGTTAATACTAGCAGGTATCTTTGGTCATCTACACCTCGGTATTCAAATATTAAAAATGAAGGCCGAATGCATACACACGCCAATTAATCAGAAAGTGCCACTGCAGTCTTAAAAATGGATCTGAATTTTGGAAACACAACTTTGGTTTTCCTATTCCTCTCCCCGTTCAACACTACTCTGTAGACCGCCGTGATGACACACCTGCCACCGGTCCCTTAAGAATCCAAGTAGTGCTTACCTCGGCTTTAATTTTATTGTCTCCGAAACACAGGTGCTGTAAGTAGGCTGCAGCATTAGACTGGACCGAAGGAAACTGGTGTTGTAACATCTGGATCACTTCCGGTAGCTCCGGGTCTCTCCATCCAAATTCTCTGAACAAGAGGAAGGCAGGAGAATGTGAGAAAGAAATCCTACCACACTGTTAACACACATTTAGCCCATTGATGAAATGCACTTGAGTTTACAGGAAACTATTTCACAAAGGGCTTTTCTGGTTTCCTTACATGCACATTCACTTAAAAGAATCTGAAAAGACTTCCTTAGGCTGATGGCTTGGAAGTGCATGTGTGTTTACCCATATGTATATATGCTGAACATACATAGCATATACACAAAATCTTAAAGATACCAACTGAAGTTACATGTTTATGGACATTACGAAAAGAATGACTTAAAAGTGTCACATGATTTTATTAACATACACATTTTTAATTTGGCTTCAGTGGAGAATTTATAAGGTTATATTGGTTTCTAATATATTGTTTCAACAGTCTGCATCAGGGACAACGTTTAGCTAAATTATCAGACAAGAGAAAATATCACTGGATGGGTCCAATCCAAAATCCAAAATGCTGTGATAGAACCTGATGCCATCTTTCTTATTTTATGACTATTATTACTGTTACTGTTATCATAAGCTCTTCTTTAAATGATTCTCCAGAGATAAAAGCAGAGCAAGAAGACTTCATAAAAGGAAGTTAAAGAGTTAGGTTTATACAATGCTAATATATATTTTTTCACTGTACATTTTCCCCCTGTGTTCTCCTTTTCCCATCTGAGTTACTCCAAGAAGATGGCTGTTTATTTAATTTTAAGAAATACGCTCTGAGACATTTAAGTCCATCCTCAAACACAAGACTGACTGTACCATTATGCATATGAATATTGTTTTATGAAGTCAATCGGCTCAACCACTTAGGGCATGGAGCTAACGGGCCAATTCAATGGATTCTATTCCTGTAGCAGGGACCCCATTTTTAACAGAGAAATGAGACTACAGATAAAAACTTGACACCCCACATGCCACAAAAGGGTACTATTTATCCAGAGGATAGGGTGAAAGAGAAATGAGATAGCTTGGCAATAACCACTCTACTCCTGGAGAAACAAACTCAAGGGCATCCATCCTGTTGATGCCGGGTCAGTGCTGTCATCTGAGGAGAGGAGTTGCAAAAAAAATGGGGCAGAGAAGGAGCAGACAAAGGTTAAAAGTGTCCTCTTAGATTCTAACCTGTTCTCTTTATCTTTATCACAAGCCATAGAGGCTGTCGAGCAAATCTTGAAATGTGTTAGCTCTCCCTGCATGGCTCTGAAGACAATAGTCAGTGGGATTCCTTTTGAATTAGCTTAGTTTTTATTGGAAAGATCAAGCAGTTGACTTAATGTGCATTTAGTAGTTAATAAATTGACATAACATTTTAGGCAGCCTCACATATTTTCAAAAGGATGTACAGTACAAGAAGACATCTGCTATAAACCATCCATAAGTGATTGCTGGTAATAGTCAAACTACTGAATTGTTTGGGCTACGTGATCAACGTAGAAATTACAGATTAAGAACACAGGCAGCTTGTTTTTCTTTTTTAAGTTTAATGTCTTTCTCTTGCGTGATTCTACACCACTTCTGCAACATCGAGATAGCACGGCCCCTCTGCTTAGAATAGCAGCCAAGTAAAATTCTATTCTTTGTTCAAATGAAAGAAACATCTACAGAATACCCTATACATCAAGATTAGCAGTGTCCTATAGACATTGGATGGCTAAGATGAATTCGGGTGAGCCTGTGCTATTGGAAAGTGATTAGTAAAGAGCTCATGTGAGCCTATTTTATTAACCAGATGGTAGTTGTTCTATACGGCATATATGGCTTATATGGCCTATATCAATAGCATCTTCTGAACAAGATCTCTAGGGGAAAAGGCTTAGGGACTGTCTGCACACATGCAGACACATGGGTTCGTTTGCATTGACGCATGTATGTATATGTGTACACGTACGCACACACCACTCAAATTCAGAACAGATGCACTTTCTAAGGAATCATGAGCCTGGGAGGGATCTAGACTCTTTAATCTTGGTTAAAAAAAAAAAAAAAAAGCTATTCAACTTCCCTCTGAAAACTCTGGAATCCCAGACATCCCCTCCACCTCACTACTCTCTTCCCAGACCTATTCCTCACCTTTCACCCTGTTGACCAAGCCAGTCACTTCCCAACCACCCTTCTTCCTACCTAAGGCATCTAAGTAGGCACAAACGCAAAACTAATTGGGCCGCATCCCTGCTTAGAAGCCTTCAGTGGTTCCCACTGTCTTTGGGATAAAGACCAGGATATCCCATGGCTCGTAAGGCCTTTGCTTGACCTGCCATCTCTCAACTTGCCCGCCCTGTGTCCCGCTGCCTCCCTGGGCTCCCTGCACTGGCCACACTGGCAGGCAGCTGGACAGCGCTCTCTCCCACCTCTGTTCTGGCCACCTGGAACAGTCCTGGCTCAGTGGTCTCTCACTCAAACTCAGGGCCCCAGGCTCTCAGTGATCTCCTCGGGGAAACTTTCTGTGAGTCCGTCCATGCAACTCCTAGTGGTAGTGCCTCCATTGCGTTGTGGACTATGACCCATCCCCGCCTCTGTCTCCACACTGTGGTAAGTTCTAGGAGGGCAGGTCCATAGTCCTTTTGGTCATGTTTGCTAACCAGCGTGTACAATATCCCTGGTACACAATGAAAGTTATGTAATTGTGCTTTGGAAGAATCAAGGCATGAAGGAACGAGTGAAGAAAGTATCTTGGCAGGGAGAGTGTTTCCTCAGTTCTACTGATGTCCTTTGTCTGGCCAATTGGTCATTCTGGAATGCTCCCCCTTCCCCTGACACACCTAGCCAGACAGACAGACAGATACACACACACACACACACACACACACACACACACACACTCCATACTGCCAAGTTGTGCAGTCTTTACTATGCATCAACAATTCTGTGGCTGAAACCTTGCAGCGGCTTCCCACTGCACGGAGGGAAACAGCCGCCTCTCACACAGAGGACACCTCCCTGTTCCTTCGGTTCCCATCTCAAGATTTCGATACTTCTGGGGAGGCTCCTCCCTCGGGGCTCTGCATGGGGCTCTCCTGTCTTGATTAGGTCTTAGTTTGTAGGTCTCGGGGGGCATCTCCTCGAAGCTTCCAGGCAAACAAGCCTGACCCCTCACCTTCTGCCCTATTTTGTCCACTGGCTGAAATTCTCCTCCATTGTTTCCATTACTCTGATTTATTGCCCCGCCCTTTCTCTGCTGTAAACTTCATGGGAACAAGGGTCTTTCACACAGCATGAAAAATTCCCTCAGCTGCGGTGTTCGAATCCCTACCTGGTGCAATGGCAACATGAGAAAGTGGGGTCCCTGGGCGGGGAAGGGGGATCAAGGACAGAATGAAAGGGGGCGAGGGAGGTCAGAAAGCCGGATAAGACTTACGACAATGGTAAACTCGTGTTTAAAATGACTTGATGTCTCCTGGGCTAAACCAGCTTTCAGGAATCATGCTGGAGTGGACTGTGTGTCTGGGCAGTTTGCTTCTGGTTTATTCTAACTGGCACTCCCCAGCCCTGGCCATCGTCTAAGAGGATACTAGTGTTTTCAAATATTTCAATTTCACAAGAGCTATGCTCAAGGTGTGCCCCCTCAGCAGTAAGTTGAGGGGGGGGACGATTTATGTCCAAGTCTCTTTTTTCCAGAATAGTTTTGTTTCACTTAAATGAGATCATTCGGAGTTTTTGTTGTCCACGGAGATAGACCAGAGAAAGAATTGGAGGCCCAGAGGAAATAAAACATCTGTCTCATTTGGGCCAGAATTTGGTATATGATACGGTTTCTTCACATAAGGTCTTAATCCTTAAGGACAAGGAGTGGCTCCCAACAGAAAGACGTTCTGGAAAAGACATACCAATGAAGGATCAGCACAGGGAGAGGTATGGGGTCATGGAGGGGTTGGCGGATTTGGAAAAGGTACGTGCTCGCCCCAGCTGGGGAACGGCGAAGAAACAGGCTGTGTGGAGGAAGGCTGCCGGGGGGGTGGAGCAGGGGGGTGGGGGTGGCGGGATGGTGGAGACCGGGTTGGAAGGCAAGTTTAAGATGAGCTCATGAAGGGCCTTTCATTCCAATACAAAAATTCTGCTTCTGGTCTGCAGTCACTATTGGAGAAAAGAAATCTAAGAACATTCAGATTTGTTTAGGCTTCCAGAACGGCTGGAAAAATAACCTTAAGTAACAACGTGAGAGCACTGACAGTCAGTTGCCATGGCTCCCTGCTCACACGCTTTAACTCTTTCATCCTTAAGTAGCCTTCTGTGGTTTATTTTCATTTTACAGAGGAGGAAATTTGACTTACAGATGGTAGGAACTTAAGTGGTGGAGCCAGAATAAAACTTGGCTGTCTGCTTTCAAAAAGATAAATTTAACCATATAACTATGTTGCCTGCTGTAATCACCGCCTTGCAACAATGTCTAGAAGAGGGATTTTTTTAGACAATGTCTCAAAAATAAATGTTTAGGGGTGCCTGGGTGGCTCAGTCAGTGAAGCGTCCAACTTCAGCTCAGGTCATGAGCTTGCCATTCCCGAGATCGAGTCCGGAGTCGGGCTTTGTGCTGACAGCTCAGAGCCTGGAGCCCAGATTCTGTGTCTCCCTCTCTCTCTGCCCCTCCCCTCCTTGCACTCTGTTTCCCTCTCTCTCTCTCTCTCAAATAAATAAACATTAAAAAATTAAAAAAAAAAGTTTCTAACAGTGTCCACAGTGGACATTTGGAAATGCCTGAAGACTTTTTTGGTTGTCACAACTGGAAGATGTTCTTGGCACCCAGTGGGGAGAGGCCAGGAATGTGGGTCAACATCCTACAGTGCACAGCGAAGAATTCTCTGTCCCCAAACTGTCATTAGAGTCAGGGCTGAGAGACTCTGGTCTACACATGAACTGTGTCTGATCACTTGTGTCGAGCAAGCATGTTGTAAGTCTTTTACTGCTGGATTATTTTAGTAGAATGGATACAGGATTTGGTATGAGAGTAATTGGAAAAGTGTTCCAAACTTGAACGTCTGGCTTTCTCTC